TGTTTGAAACAATTAAGTTGTTTCATTTGTTATATGGGACACTTTGATCCATATGAAAAAACCTTTTAGAACAACAATTATGATCATCACAGGGAGAATGGTTGACGATCCTTGAAAAGAAAACGTACCACAGTGGCGTATGTACAATCTATTAGAGAAAACCAAAACATATAAAGATAACAACTTAACTAGGTTCATTTTAAGTATCCAAATCAGAACTAGTTTACCAACTCGTGCGTCTTTCAATAGTTCACCAACTAGTCAACGCATGTAACGGCTCCGATCAAATCATATGAAGCTAAGAGCATGTGCATCGCGACGGAAAAAGGGAGCGCTTAGAAAAAAAGGTGCAGGAGAGGGCCCACATCAAATAAGAAGTCGGCGTTTTGTTGCTCAGATAAGCGCCAGATTCTCGTGAGTTCTTGGCCAATTCTGCGGGCCCCACGACACGTGGCGGCCCGCGATTGGTTGCTTTTTAATTTTTTTTTTTTTTTTTTTTAAAACGGAAAAGCAAAAAAAAAAATTAAAAAAAAAATAAATTTTTTTTTTAAGCGTCCCTGCGCGATAAACGTGCTCTAACTAAAGTAAAATCAGTTCGTATGGTTGACTAAGATTATATATCCTAGAAAAGAAAACGTACCACAGTGTCATATGTACAATCTATTAGAGATAACTAAAATCTATAAAGATAACAACTTAACTAGGTTCGTTTTAACGTTCCAAATCAGAACTAGTTTACCAACTGGTGTGCCTTTTAAGTTTCACCAACTAGTCAACGCACCTAACGGCTCCGATAAAATCATATGTAGCTAGCTAACTAAAGTCAATTCAGTTCTTATGTAAACCCATTATATAAATCCACACAATCAAATTACTTTTGTAATTTTTAACATTTGATGCCTATTATAAATCATTACTTTACTTACTTTTAAATTACATGTGATGTGAGATGTGTGATCAAAGATTATATGTTAAACGCATAATGAAATTTTGTTGTTTGTTTGTTTGACAAGGCCTAATTTTTCTAGGTGTCTTTTACTAATGGGCCAGTAACCAAAATAATGCTTAGTGTTTGTTTGTTTGACAAGGCCTAAATATGAAAGGCAATTGGTATAACCGTAAATTATGAAATTTTGTTGTTGCATTTTACCATGAATGAGTTAGGAGCTCCTAAAATTATCGTGGTGTTCTAGGATTTCTTAGTTTCCCTGATCATAGATCCCCAATAGTTAAAGGATGAGACGGCGGAAAGAGCATCGTGGACGGAAAGAGCATCGTCGACGCCAAATTCATCTAAAGACGGAGAGTCGGAGACCCTAGCAGAGGCATAGAAGGGAAGTCGTGGTGAACCATCTAAGGTAATTAAATTTATATTATAAAAAATAATGGGTCATTATCACAGTGGTACATGGTAGTCAAGTCCTGTTAATGGTGCCCTTTGTAGATTTTCGTTTGTGGTCTTTAGAATCAGCACCGGCTCTGAGCATGTGCTCAGAGTGCACTTGCATAGGGTCTTTTTTTTTTCTTTCAATTTTATGTAAGAGTTAGGGTTTTATTTTGTTAAAAAAACAAATAGTTTAGGGTTTTGTTTTTGAAAATTTACATAAGTAGTGTAACTAAAATTTTGAGAAAAAATTTACCCAGCACTTTTGATCAAAAAAATAAAAAATTTACCCAGCACTAGGTCCAAGTAATTTATAAGCCGGCCATGTTTAGAATATATTGGAAATATGATTGTTTGTAATTTGGATATGAAGAAGACTGCATGAGGCTGATAAATATTGTTATTTCGCTGATGTCAGCATTTTAACGACCTATTGTCTCATTCGAGGTGGAATCGGATCGAGTAGTCAAATTTTCGTGAGAACTTGTAATCACTAGCCTTGTATGTACAATACTATGTATGTTTTTTTTTTGTCAAACATACAACAATAATATGTATGTAAGATTATCAGTTTTAACTAAAACAAAAAAGAAGAGATTATCAGATTTTTTTTTCTGTCCGAAAAATCTTTGTATACGCAAACACGAATACCTCCGAGGATCAAACGGCTCCAATCAAATCATTTGAAGCCTTCCTTTTGCCCACTATTTAGTACTTAACGTTTTGAAAAGCAGTAACCAAGCGGGGAAGTCTTGTGTTTAAAATGCTTCCACCATCATTATTCTTATGGACCATCGCTAGCAATTCTTTTTGGTTCTCTGTTGATTACGCTTCGTAAACAAACTGATCGTAAAATTAATTTTTGGGCCTCGTATCGGATTTTTTGAGGTTTTCTTTTTCTTTTTACCATATGAAGCAAATTGGATCTACAGTTATTGTAATCTGGACGCAAAAATGCCTAAGAGGGTGGCTAACAGAGATTATAGAGTGATAGCTGATAGATCTAGCTTCATTGTGTGAAAAAAATAAATAAACGAGGATAAGGTCAGTAGTTTGAAGTATAATAACATGTGATTTAATTGAATATAACTTATAACTTATATATGAATGTACAATCCTTACTTTTGTTGGTAGGGAAAGAGTACTGCATGTGGCTGTGGATAGTGTTGTGAGAGCTGTAAGTGGAGGGGCTAGATGGATATATAATGTCTATGCCTATCCAGCCAAGGTGCTGACGTTTGCAAGATATATATAAACATTCATTTCCCATAGATACTCTGCAAACAAACTCTACTAAACCCGGAATCTTAGCTGATATATAAGTGACCTCTCTAAAAACTGAAATTCGTCTTGTCTTTGGTTAGTTCCATTTAAACTTGACGTGTGCTACATCAACGCTCTAGAAGTGGTTGCAGCCTTTTGGTGTAAAAGACACAATGTTGGAGATTGATGAAAAGAACTTGAAAGATGTTAGCATGAGGCGACTCGTGAAGATGGTTAAGGAACTTTCTATAAAGAGCAGGAACAACAGAACTGCGTTGCAGATACTGCCTGGTAATTATCAGATTGCAGAGTAGTGTGGTGACTCAAAAACCTGTTTCCTTTGATGCTACTTTTCGTTTGAATAACGTTTATGGGTCTTGTAGAGTACCAGGCCAAAGTGGCGACAAGTCTAGAGGACTTGAAAACCTCCCATTCGCATCACTGCAGACCAAGTCCAATACCCTGAATCTAGACCCCCACCTCCTATATTGATCACTGTTTGCAAATTGGAATATTTGTACTGTTATGTACAATGTAACTTCTATACAAATAGTAAGATATATGAACTAGACAAAACTTCAGATTAATGTGTAAGCAGTTTTGCCATTTGTTAAGAAAACGTAAAGAATAACCATTGTGGCGGTTGTTTTATGCAGTCTCTGTTAACGGTGAATTATGGTAAAAACATGATACATCGTGAGATTTATAGAAAATTTTAAAGAAGAATTATTAAGTTCGTGCACAAAAAAGCACCAACTGCTAGAAAAAAACATGTACGTTTGTTGACTTTTTTAGTTTATTAAGCAACTTAAGATTGACTGATCATAGTAACACATTGTGAACCCACCGCGTCGATTTACATGATTTGAAAATACAGGTAAACCCTCAGATTCAAACTCGGGTTGTTTGAGACAAATGGCAATGTATTTTACCACTAAGCTAATGACACTTTCAATGGAATTACAAACACATTTAATTTTATTTAGTACTAATTCGATATAAAAAAATCTCTAAAAACTTAAAAAGATCTTTAAAATTCCAAAAAATTGGAAAATAAAGAATTTTTTTATAAAATTAAGTTTGAAACTAAATTAAAATAAAAATTTTATTTTTTCTAAAAATCAAAAATCTACCAAAATTTTCATTTTTTAAAAAAATTGCAAAAAGTTAAAAATACAAATAAAATGCAAAAAATTAAGTTACAATTATCAGCTAAACTTTGAGAATAGACTAAAAGATAGGGCATATCTTTTCCACTTTTATTATAATAATAAGATATAAATATGATCATCACACAGACAATGTTTTAGTAATTAAGGTTATATATCCATGAAAAGAAAACCATAATTAAAATATGTAAAAAGAACAACTATAATAGGTCCAATATACGTAACGATCCATCTCAGAACTAGTTCACTAATTCACCAACGTAAAAGATTGGGCATGTCTTTTCGATGATGATCCTTCCATATCCATTGATACCCCAGACCGTACCCCCATGTGTTTTGCACAATGAAAGACAGCTTGTTATCCTTTGTAATCTTTAGGAACTTTGAAAAGATTCGAATCATTCTTTTCAAATAACCCAGAATAATATCCACGTACTTGCCGAAAAATAATTACGATTATGAAGTCAAATTATATCCAAGTCATTAGTCTTTTTTTTTTTTACAACAACATGAAGTTAAACTCATCTATGAAGTCAAAGTAAAAATCCAAGTCATTAGTCAAACAGTAAGAATTTAATACTTGCCAGAAAATAATTTCGATTAATGAAGTCAAAGTATTGAAGTCATTAGCCAGACAGTAATAATTTAATATATTGAAAGTTTATCATTGTGTAAAGAAACTTAAGATGGTGTACATTGGAAATGTTCATTTTTGTGATTATGTATTGAAGCTTTAAACGTATAAATTTTTAACTTATTTTTATGAATTTTTTTTCATTTTTCATAACAAAATTCCCAATATAATAAATAATCCATCCGTTTCACTTTAGCTGTCATTATAGGTTTTTGCACACGTATTAAGAAAACATTAAATTTTACATAGTCAAAATAAAAACACAATTAACTATACACCTAACCACTTTTCAACGAATAGAAAAATATAATATCATATAAAGTTAATAAATTTTGTCTCATATATCATTGGTGGAAGAGAAAACAGAATCACGCCATTAATGCATGTAGAAAATGCCATTGACTTCCTTTTCATATTATGGTAAGTATATTACTCTTTAGAGAAGATACAAAAAGGGTGAATGCATGAACGTTCTTGAAACACATTTAAATAGTCGAGAGTTCATATCTTTTAGTTTATACCACCCTAAAAATATAGAACACTCAAAATAATGAATCGCCTCTCATGCTTTTTGATTGTCATTGCATTGTGTACTGAGTTGAGTAATGGAGCAGCTTTGCTGAAAGACTCTGTACATTTTAATAACTCTCTTAAACCAGGCAACATTCTCAAGGTCCATTGTATCTCGGACCAAGATAATCTAGGCGATCATTTGTTGAGTCTAGGACAAACCTATGAGTTCAGTTTTTATGAAAGTATTACCACGACTGTAGTCAACTGCGGCTTATGGCAGGGACCTGGTTTCAAGTTCTATGCATTGTTTCAGGCATATAAAGGTGGTGGTCTCATTATGCATTATGGTAAGAAAAACTTTTGGGATGCAAGAGAAGATGGTATATATTTCACACATGGTTCACTTTCTCCCAAGTTAGAGTACAAGTGGTCAGCCCATGTCCTTACACCAACTCATTAAAAATGGAAAGAAATATATGTAACACTCAAATGAAGTGGACTTTCGATCAGCCTTTTTCTTAATAACAATAATAAAAACGTTTTATAAAAAAAGTATAAGAAGATTTAATTATATAAATCATTATAAAGTATCGTAATAATGTTTTCCTTATACATGAGTATTATAGAGTATTAGGTAATGCCGAAATGGTGTTTTCCCGTATAAATGGGTAGATCGTTTTCTTGGTAAGCTTATTTTTGTTACTAACAAGAAAAAGAAAATAACAAGCAACCCCTAATCTTTCTCGCCGTCAAGCAAATGTTAAGAGTGCACTTTAGACCATGGTCGTTAAGATATAAACTCAAGGTTGGGCCAGGCAGTGTATTATACTGAAAATATCATAACCAAATACAAGAATACATGGTGATTGCCAAAATTATCTGACAGAAAGCACAAAGCCGAGAGGAGAAGCTGCATACGTGTTATTGAAGTAATGCCTCCAAAGAGGTCTGAGTTTCTCTTGGCCACCAACATCCCAAACCGTGAACATCACATTCTTGTACCCAACTTTCTCAACGTTGAATCCTGCGTAAAAAAGGTTGAAAATCTGTCGAGAAACAGGAACCAATATAACACACCAACACCGAGTATCATGGCACAAGAAGCATTCACAGACATGGCTTCAGAAGCATAAGGCAAAATGTGGTATCATGAGATTCAAAGTATTTACAAACCGATCCCAATTTTTATGTCACAGACACTCATTAAGGCAAAAAAAATGGCTGTGTAATTCCTAATTAGCAATAAATTTACGCCAGCTAGAAAACCAGGAAGTCCCTTTCTCTTGCATAGAAAAGAATATATGCCTCTTATGACAAGACTGTATCTTCATCAATTCGATCGACCTGTCGAGTTTTGTCAAACACACCACAGGGGGAATATTCATTTTTCAAAATCACATAAGCAAGCAACCGGCTTGTTGTGTTTAGAGTTTCGAATCTCAGAATTTGTAATTTAATCTGATACATGTAGAAGTGTTCAATCTAGATGTCAGTTCGGTTTTGGTTCACTTTTTTCGGTATTTTAGTTTATAAAAATTAGCTACCATAAATATATTTCTATTTTATTACATTTTGTAAATTTTACTTAATATGATTAGATATCGATTTTATGAAAACATAAAGTTATTTCAGTTTTAAACATAATATTTTTCTACTTTATAATACTATTTAAATGAATTAATAAACAAATTAAGTTAATGATAATAATTTTTATAAACTAAAAATAAAAAAGTAGTAATGCGATAATATTATTAAATAATTAAATAATTAAATATTACACAATATTTAAAGTTATGGTTTATTTAATTTCATAAAATAACTTTGAACTTAAATAAAACTAATAAATTATTAAGTTAGCGTTTTAAATATAAAGAACATATCAATAAGATAAATTTGTATATATTATCAATTATATCATATAATTTACATATAATTCTACTAATATATTTTAGTTAATTGATTTATTCGGTTTAATCGATATAATTGGTTTATATACCAAACTATATCCATATACCGTAGTTTTTTCAAAAACAACATCCATTCGGTATAATCGGTATTACGAAATCGAAACCATTTTTTCTATTCACTTTGGTTATAAATGGTTCAGTTATACCGGATTGAATATCCCTAATATATACAATTCATTTGGTTAAGGTCAGTGGTCAATGTTTGAAATTCACTTTTTATGGTTACGTTCATAAATTAGAGAATTAATTGGGAATTTAATATATATATGAAGTAGTATATATAATTAATTAATTTCTACATCAAATTTACAAAAAGGATAAAGCAATTTAGTAGTAGTTCACTCAACTAAAAAAATTTAACATGTAAAATCTGTAAAAAGTAATTCTTATTTTTATGCTACAGAAGCCAGAACCGAAGGATGCCGAAAGAAGTTGCTTCGATTTTGCATAGGTGAAAGAAAACCACTCCAAAATTTAGAAGAATGTAAAGATTGATCTTGTAATCAGAACGAACAAACTTTGCATACTGAAGATGCTGTAAGTGATGCCAAGAGAAGATAGAAAATTAGAACATAGTCGAATGTCGATTTTAGATATCAATCCTGCATTTTGTGATTCTTTTGATGGGTAGCTAGCTGAATAGTTAGGTTTGTTTTGCTGAATGAAAAAAAAAACTCAAAAGTTGTTGGTTAGGCTTTGTGGAACATATTAACAAATTAAATTACTTTTGTATTTAATTGAATATGAAATATAATTTTACATTTCTATTAAAAAATTAAGTTATTTTGGCAACCCAAAAATAATATTCACTTATTTGACAAAAAGTATTACGATAAATGAAGAAAAGTATGTCAAAGTCATTAGTTAACCAGTAATCTATATAATAATGATTCACTTTTGAAGCTCTTAAGGCTATCCACATCAGCAACCGAGTGGGTCCCGCACCTGTGTTATTTGGGAACCAAAACGTATAAGACTTTTTAACATTGAATGTTATTAATGAGTGATGAAATGGCCCAGTGGTGTAAGTTGGTGATGAGAAGTTGGTACCGTGAGTGCGCAGGTTCGAAACGCAGTGCTAGCATGTAATTTTTTTTTTAATTTGGGCTTTTCGGGATACCTAAAAGTTTAGAGAGATTCAGAATGATTTTTTATGCTGGTTGTTGGGATACAAAATGGCTTAAGGATTTGAAACTTTATGAGACCATCTTAGATACTTTTATAAGAAAACGTATAAGACTTTTTAACATTGAATGTTATCAATGAGTGATGAAATGGCTCAGTGGTGTAAGTTGGTGATGAGAAGTTGGTACCGTGAGTGCGCGGGTTTGAAACACAGTGCTTGCATGTTTTTTTTTTTAATTTGGGCTTTTCGGGATACCTAAAAGTTTAGGGAGATTCAGAATGATTTTTTATGCTGGTTGTTGGGATACAAAATGGCTTAAGGATTTAAAACTTTATGAGACCATCTTAGATACTTTTATAAGAAAGGTTATCATGTTCTAACCTCCAATATCATTTCAATTCAGTTATAATCATCAATAAAATAAAAATATATTTTTTAATAATAAATATTTACCCCAAACCATTCAGATCGACCATAAATCTCATATACATCACAATTAAAAAAAAAAATATATATATATATATATATATATACAACATAATTTCAGAAAGAAAATTACACTAATAAACACATGTCCTTTTTTGTCTTGTCTCCATTAAATTATTTTTTTACATGAAAGCACTAATAACAGTAATGCTCGATAAAATCACTAATAAAGAGAATGCTCGATAAAATCACTACGAAGATAAAATATGAAAATATCAACCCATATGAATTCGATGTTTATTCTTTTATCAGACTAATCAACTTGTGTGACTTCTAATGTTTCATTCATCACCACTATAGATAAGCCAGATAAACAAAATGTTAAAAAAAATAGCAAAGTCTCATACACAAAACTACACAACATATTAACAACGTATCCAACTCCGCGCTTGCGCGGGGACTATGCATCTAGTTATTTATTATATTTAAAATGTATGATTGTGCATTGAAGCTTTAGATGGTGTACACTGGAAATTTCAGTTTTCGTGACTATGAATGTTTTGTTAATCCACACATTTTAAGAAAACACGTTAAAATTTGATCATAAGTACATTATTCTTTGTGATTAGTTGTTTTCTATAATTTTTAATCAATCAACATTATGTTGAGTACACATAATGAATGTCTTCGAAATTTACAATTTATAACAATGCATTGAAAATATAAGATATATAATTTTTAAAAACATATTTGAAAAACATGGATAATTTTGAAACAGAAAAAGTGATAAATTTTCAACTTCTTTAATTTTTTAAAAAAATTTGCATTTATTTCTGCACATAGTTCCTAATATATTAAATAATACTCCCTCCGGTTTATACTTTAGTTGTTATTATAGGTTTTTTCACACAAATTAATGAAACATTTAATTTTATATATTTTAAGTTAAAAATACAATTACCAATACACCTAACAACTTTTCAACTAATAAAAAGTAAAATTTTATATAAAACTAATAAATTTTGCTTTGAAACTCTTAAAACATACTTAATTTGTAATAAAAAATCTAGCCTAAAATGACAAATATTCTGAAACGGAAGGAATAGTTATCATAAAATATATGCATACGTGGAAAAGAAAACACAATCACTCCATTAATACATGTAGAAAATGTGGAGCTTCTTTTGTCATATTATGTTAAATACTGAATTCATGAACGTTACTTCATAAAACACTTTTAAAAAGTCATAGTCTAAGAGCAACAACATCGGTTGTTTTAGTATGGTCCTTAGGGGGAGAGGGTCCACAAAAACAGCATAACCGAGGTGCATTGTTTGTTAAATGAAGAACGTTTTAATTTGTTCCTTGTGTTTATCGCGGGCACCACTAACACGTAGCGGTCCGTGGTTGGTCCATTTTTAATTTTTCTTTTTAACAGTTAAAAACAAAAAAAAAATTAAGGATTTTTTTGGGACTTACCGATAATGATGGTCTAATATATAGAATTGTGGAAACACTGTGGTTAAGGTTTAAAGGTTTTTACACCTATGTCTAAAGTTCGAATCTTAAATTATGCAATTCCTAGGTTTCAATTTCTGGAAAAGATAAATTATGCAGATAATTAGTGAAAAGGTTTACAAGAAATCTTCAGCATATCACAAGGAGTACTGTCAGGAATGGACTCAGAGCGCAGCTCAGAATGATGCAGTTAGACGTGAATCCGCATAAGACATGTAGAATTATCGACTGTAATATCGTCTATGTAATGTTTCTCATAATTTGTAATAGCATAACTACTCATACAAATATATATATACTTATTCTTGGATTTACCTCCTAGAATATACTTCTAGGTTCACTAACCAATAAGATGGTATTATTTCATATTTGATATTTAAAAAAAAACAAAATCTTGTAAAGTTATATTATGATTTTAAATTAAAAATAAGAAAAAAATAAAAAAAAATACTGTTTACAAAAAACGAAAAAATCTTTAAAAAAATAATTTAACATTATATTATGTTTTTAAAATAAAAAGATAAAAATAAATAAAAACAGTATAATTGATTAGTATTAATTTTTTGATTTAATGTTTAAGGTTTTTATAAAGGGTTTATTATTTACCCAAGGGTTAAGGGTTTAGGATTAAGGTTTAGGGTTTAGTGTTAAAATATTTTTTGAAATTTTTTTTTTTCGTTTTTGTAAATATTATTATTTTTTTATTTTTTATTTTTATTTTAAAAACATAATATAACTTAATAAGATTTTATTTCTTTTTTTTTAAGATATCAAATATAAAATAACACTATCCTATTGGTTGGTGAATCTAGAGATTCACCGTAGGGGATGAACCCAAAAATAACTCATATATATACCATCTAAAAATATAACAAATCAATCTTTCTCAAAAGAAAAAAATATAACAAATCAATAAGTCGAAACAATGAATCTCCGCCTCTCATGCTTTTTGATTATCATTGCATTGTGTGCTGAGTTGAGTAATGGAGCAATTTTTCAAAAAGACTCTGTACATTTTAACAACTCTCTTCAACCAAACAACATTCTCAAGGTCCATTGTGTCACAAAAGAAGATGATCTAGGCGACCATTTGTTGAGTCATGGGCAAACCTATGAGTTCAGTTTTTATGAAAGTATTTTCAAAACTGAAGTCATTTGTGGCTTATGGCAGGGACCTGGTTTCAAGCTCTATGCATTGTTGAAGGCATATGAAGGTGCTGGTTTCCATTATGGTAAGACAAACTATTGGGATGCAAGAGAAGATGGCGTATATTTCACACATGGTTCACTTTCTCCCAAGTTAGAGTACAAGTGGAAGTGGTTAGCTTTTGTCCTTGCACCAACTCCTTAGAATATATGTAATCCCTCAAATGAAGTGGACTTTCGGTCGCCTTTTTCTAATAACAATATATAAAGACGTTTTTATAAAATTTTAATAAGAAGACTTAAATATATAATAATCATTATATACTTGATATAAAAATAGAATAAATGACTTCAAAAGAATGACAGAGGGTGACCTGTTTGATTTACAGCACTCCGGAGATTTCTTGTCTTGGCGAGGTCAAAGAGGAGATCATTTGGTTCGGTGTAGACTTGACAGAGCAGTTGCCAATACGGCTTGGGCAGAGGCTTTCCCGACTGCGCGATGTCAGTATCTCAACTATGAAGGATCAGATCATAAACCAATTATTTCGGTTTTGGAGCCAAACAAGAAGAAGAGACAGGGTTTATTTCGATATGATAGGAGATTAAAAGACAACCCTGAGGTTCGTGAGCTGATTCGAGCCATTTGGGAAGGGGACCCTCACATCCCGGTTAGTGAAAAGATAGTTGCTAGCCGCAAAGCTATATCTGCTTGGAACAAAACACAACAAAGAAACAGCAGGATCATCATTGAGGAAAAGAAGGTAGAGCTGGAGAATGCACTAACAGACCCACTCAATGATACAGCCCTTATAAGTCGGATAAGTGCAGAACTCAAAGCGGCTTACCAGGCAGAGGAAGCTTACTGGAAGCAACGAAGCAGATTATTATGGCTTAGATTGGGAGACCGTAACTCAGGGTTTTTCCATGCAGCAACAAAGGGCCGGAGAAGGGCTAATATGATCACTGTCATTGAGGACGATCAAGGAATACCAGTGCACAGAGAAGAGCAGATTTCACAAGTGGTAGTGTCATATTTCGAGAAGCTTTTCTCGTCCTCGGATACTACTAGCACAGAGACAGTCAATTATGCTCTAGATCAGGTCATCACTGCTGAGAACAACGACCACCTAACCGCAATACCAACGCCTGAAGAAATTAAAGATGCTGCATTCTCTATCAACGCCGATAAAGCACCCGGGCCAGACGGGTTCTCAGCCGGATTCTTTCACTCTAATTGGGGCAGCATCGGAGGAGCTATTGTAGCAGAGATACAGCAATTTTTTACATCTGGTACCCTCCCACCAAAGATCAATGAAACGCACATTCGGCTTATCCCAAAGAACAACAGTCCCACGACAGTGATGGAATATAGGCCTATCGCGCTCTGCAATGTGTATTACAAGATTATCTCAAAAATCTTGACGAGAAGATTCCAGCCCTTGCTCTCTTCTATTATTTCGGAAAATCAGTCCGCCTTTGTACCCGGACGAGCCATCTCAGATAATGTGCTAATTACTCATGAGGTTCTTCATTACTTAAAAACCTCAGATGCGGAAGTGAGATGTGCTATGGCGGTTAAAACCGACATGAGCAAAGCATACGATCGTCTCGAATGGGATTTCATTTCGCTGGTACTAAGTAGGATGGGGTTCCATCCGACGGTAGTGGCTTGGGTTATGCAATGCATAACCACTGTTACATACTCCTTTCTCATCAACGGCTCGCCTAGAGGAAGGGTTAAACCGAGTAGGGGGATCCGTCAAGGAGACCCACTCTCACCATACATATTCATCTTGTGTAGTGAGGTGCTCTCGGGATTATGTAACAAAGCTCAAGCGGAAGGAACTATGAAAGGCATTAAAGTGGCCCGGGGCTGCCCGCGGGTCAACCATCTACTCTTTGCGGACGATACTATGTTTTTTCTCAACGCTGATAAGAAAAGCAGTAAAGCACTCCGTGACATCCTGACCAGATATGAGAGTGCATCAGGACAATCAATAAACGTAGCCAAATCGTCGATTTCCTTCTCGAGAAAAACACCTGCGGAAATAAAGACTATGGTGAAGGATACTCTACTGATTTCAAACGAGGGCGGAGTGGGAAAATATCTCGGGCTACCGGAACATTTTGGACGTAAGAAAAAAGATTTGTTCTCTTCTATCGTTGATAGGATCAAACAAAAATCCAAAGGATGGGCAAACCGGTACCTCTCAACAGCAGGGAAGCTGGTCATGCTAAAGAGTGTCCTAACTCCGATCCCTTCCCACGCTATGACCTGCTTTAAACTCCCAGTCTCGTTGTGTAAAAGGATCCAGTCTGCTGTCACTCGTTTCTGGTGGGATTCTAATACCGGAACAAAAAAGATGGCGTGGGTCTCGTGGGATGACATGACACAAACTAAGACCAATGGTGGACTTGGATTTCGGGACTTCCAAGGCTTCAATGATGCGTATCTAGCTAAGCTAAGTTGGAGGCTTCTGAATAACCCGAATAGTCTGCTCGCAAAGACTCTTTTTGGTAAATATTGCAAATTTGAAGACTTCCTACACTGCCCGGAGAGAAATGCTGAATCACATGGGTGGAGAGGAATCCTAATAGGAAGAGATCTTTTGTTAGAGAACATGGGATGGCTGATTGGTGATGGAAAGTCTATCAAGGTATGGCAAGACCCATGGCTCAGTCTTACTAGCCAAGTTAGGCCTATGGGACCAGCCCCGGAGTGGTGTGCAGAGATGACAGTGGCGGACCTGATACACCCGGCTACGTTGGAATGGAACCGTGACATTATAAACAGGCTTTTCCCTTGGTTAGAGACCACAATTCTGAGTCTGAAGCCAAGTCTGCAGGGGGCTCCTGACAAACTGGTATGGCTCCACACCAGAGATGGAGAATATACTACCAAGACAGGGTACAGCGCTGCAATGGAGTCAAGAACTAGATCCCAAAACAATAGGAATTTTGCGGCAATAAACTGGAATAAGGGAGTCTGGAACCTCAAGACTGCACCAAAGGTTCAACATGTGATTTGGAAAGCACTCAGAGGCGCGTTACCAGTGGGCGAACAACTACAAGCAAGACACTTGCCAATAGACCCGATGTGTAAACGGTGTGGAAAACTCGAATCTATTAATCATCTCTTATTTCATTGTGATTTTGCGGAGAGGGTGTGGCAGATTGCTCCATTTCTGCAGCGTATTGACCAGAGAGGATTACTAGATTTGGAAAACGTTTGGATGAACCTGATTGAATTTACGTGCCTTCCGCCTGTGGGTGTTGTTACGAGCCAGCTTGCACCCTGGATTGTCTGGTCCCTTTGGATTGCACGGAACAATTTAATCTTCAACAACAAGCAAATGACAACTTCGGAAGTCATGTCAAAAGCAATTTCTGCAGCTAAAGAGTGGCAAAATGCACAAGACATTGAAGGAAAGAAGAAGCCTCAATCCCGTAAACCATTAGAAGTACCACAGGCTGACACGGTGCTTCAGACAGATGCAGCATGGTCTGAGACATCAAGCGCTGCGGGTTTGGGATGGGCTATCAAAACCACAAGTGGAACTCAGAGATTCTCAACCTCCATTAGCTTTGTTCTGTCACCGCTAATGGCAGAAGGCCTAGCTATGAGGGAGGCAATCAAAAAGTGCAAAGAGCTGGGGATCCAGCACCTGCGATGTGAATCAGACTCCTCTCAGCTGATCAAAGCTCTAAACTCTCCTACTGAACCTCTGGAGATTTATGGTATAATTTCGGATATTAGAATTGATGCTAGCTTGTTTGAAGCAATTTCTTTCTGTTGGATTCCTCGAGAGAGGAACGTTGATGCTGATTTTCTAGCTAAAGCGGCTTTACGCCATGTAACAACTGAATTTTTCAGTTAGACGTTTATGTTTAATCAATGAATTTGCGTTCCAAAAAAAAAAAAATGACTTCAAAAGAATATCTTCCACCAAAGATGACCCCAAAAGGGAACGTTCAGAGATGATACAAATTTCATCAAACGGAATATACAAAGCTCTCATGGCAGCATGATCCAAAAAAAAAGAAAGCAAGTAGTCAAATTTAGTCTATTGTAATGTTGGCAGTTGGCACCATGAGAGGAGTATGATTCTTTCCCTAACAAAAGTATTTAGAGATTCTGACTTTTTTTTTGTGATGACTGCTTTACAACCTGCAAGGAGAAAAGACATTTTCAAGAACTCAAGGTCACTGAGACTGATTTAGCTTGGTGGGTTCTCAGGTTCTTTCATATAATACCAAGTGAAAAAGAGTTAAAAGGAAGGTCCAACGGAAGTGAATCCAGCGGCTTTGACATCCTTAAGCGTAGATGATAACCAGTCCAAGCCTTCATAAAGCCCGTCCCCGCGAAGAGCACAAGTTCCTTGTATGTGCCACTTCCTGTTCTTGAGGTCAAATAAGCCTAACCCTTCACATACTTCTCTCGGTGACATGGCTCCTCTCTAAAATTCAGCATGAATTAAAAGATAAGAGGATAGCCAAACAAAGAGAGACAAGACTAAAGCTCGATGTTACCATGTCTTGTTTGTTTGCAAACACAAGAATGATACTGTTGAGCATGAATGGGTCTTTTATGATCTCCTGAGGAAGTAAGAGAGCAGGTTAAGGAACTATCCAGAGAGTTAACTTAATGTCTTGTGAAAAAAACTGAGATAAAAGAACCTGAAATTCTTGCTTTGCTTTCCCAAGCCTCTCTCGGTCCAAAGAGTCTACCACGTATATCTGCAAGCAAGCGGATGTGGGAGTACACTTTAGACCATGGTCAGTTTAAGAAATATACAAAGATGTCATGGTTGGGACAAGTAAAGTATTGTACTGCAAATACCATAACCAAATACGAGAATGACATACGCGAAACATACCAGGTTGCCAAAAAACTATCTGACAGAAAGCAAAAACCAAGAGAAGAAGCTATAAACGTACGAGTCCATCAGTGTTATTGAAGTAATGCCTCCAAAGAGGTCTGAGTTTCTCTTGGCCACCAACATCCCAAACGGTGAACATCACATTCTTGTACTCAACTTTCTCAACGTTGAATCCTGCGTTTAAAAAGATGAAAAGCTGTCGAAAAACATATCCAAAGCAAGCAACCGAAAGGGAAAATGAACAAGACCATACAAAAGTATACTATCCGAGGAACAAATATAACACACCAACAACAAGAACAAATTCACAGACATGGCTTCTGAAGTATAAGTCAAATTTCAAAATGTTGATGTATCATGAGATTCCAAGTATTTAAAAAGAGATCCCAACTTACAGACACTCATTAAGGCAAAAGCAACTATGTAACTACTAATTAGCAATCAAAAACATTTCCTTTGCAAAGGCGTTGATAGAATAAATCTAACATCTTCCACCAAAAGATCTATCCAAAAACCAAAGGAATCAAATTATTAGCTAATGATGATAACAAGTAGACAGATTGGTTACCAATGGTGGGAACAGTGGAGAGAACTTCACCAATGTGAAGTTTGTAGAGAATAGTTGTTTTGCCAGCTGCATCCAGCCCCAGCATTACCACCTGCCATATACCCCCAATCACAATCACATAATATATAAACATTTCTATCAAACTCTATTCAATCATTTATGACACAACAACAGCTTACATCAATTTGATTATATGACCATAAGCTATTGACTAAACCCCCCCCCCCCAAACATATCAACGATAAATATAATACGAGATCCACATTACAAAACAAAAATATACAATTCAGAGAATGATCGAGGAGATGAATGGTTTACCCGCATCTCTTGATTGCCGAAGAAAGTATCGAATAGCTTACGAAAAGTTTGTCCCATCGCTCCCAGTTCCCCCCCAAATTATATAATTTCTTTTCTGTTATCGAAGCAGAGGAGAGATCAAGCGACGAAGATAGATTTGAAGGAGAGACGATGACGAAAAATTACAGAGAGATATTTACGCGTTTGGTCCAAAGGATTTCACAGAACCAAGTCCTCCTCCTCCCCCACGGAAATTTTTTAAACAATTTAATATTCTTTCTTAGCGAACATTCCTGCCCTGGAGTATATTTATAATCATTATGGGCCAAAACTGTTATATAAAGGTTATGGGGCTGATTGGCTTTTGAACCTGGACTACATGAACCACCACTTTTCCCTACCAAGACAATAATAGTATCCTATTCGACTCTCCAGCAAAGAAAAACAACACTAGTAATATTAACCTTAATCACGAACGACATAACCTCATATGCTAATCTTCCTACGTAGGCCTTCTGATTCATACCCTCTGGTCCACGCAATTGTGAACACTTGCATAATTAAACTGAAACTGGAAAAAAAAAAAAAAAAAAAAGAACACCTTTCTATTTTAATGGCAACTAATAATAGAGAGACAGAGAAACAATGTCTTAGCACCTAAAGGCACGAATCATTCACTCGAGTAACATAACAAAAACACCCGAAATATGTCTAATATATTTAAAGCAAAGCCAAGCAAGAATCAGCCAACCATGTAACTAGAGAAGAGCCCTAAGTTTTTTAAAATCTACATTAACTAAAAAACCAATTAATTAACGAAACAAGAGACCAATTCACCCCCCTAAATATCTCTGTTATCTTGGGCTTCTCCAATTCTCAAAATCGAACTAGGAAAGGCTTCGAACCAAAGGCAGAGCAGGGTGATGGAAATTAACGTCTCTTCACTCATTCCCGAAAGTACTACAGCATTCTTGTTTTGTTTTAGGAGTCAACCATCTCGTCCTGAATCTCATTAGGAGCGACAAGCCCTGGAATCGAAAGCATTCTTTGACGCTCTTGCTCTCTCTGCGCTGCTGCTTCCTCAGCATACAGATCTTTGTTATCCTGAAAGTTGATACCAAACAACATATAGGCTTTGGCTTGTTAGTTTGATTTTTCAAAATCAACTGAATGATCAGTTTCAGTCGAATAAGAGTTGATACTAACCTGAGCGGAAAATTCCTTCGACTGTACGAGGAAGTCACGAATGTTTTTCTTAAATTCAGACGGGTCATTTCTTGACTCGTAAAGTCCATTCACAAATTGTGTGACCTGTATGTTGATAATTGAGATTCAATATCAGACTTTGACAAGAAATAAGATGAAGAGGAATCAACATGAAGGCAAAACTACTGGTTTTAACTTTTCTACTTACCTCTGCTGCAGTCATGTTAGGGAATGAAGAGCTCAACAGCTTAATAGTGTACTCACGAACAAAGACAGCGTTGTTCGGATACGGGTGAGGCACAGTTGCAACATCCCACAAAGGTTCCGTCAACGCACCGCTCTCAACCTTTTATTTATAATTAACAAACGTCTAAGCATATATAGAACCTACCCATTACGAAGGATACTCAAGGTCAACGATAAGATAAGATGAGAGAGAAGAGACTGTTTTACCAGGCAAAACAGGTGCTGCAGCACCAACACATGCAGCTTGAAACCAGGCTTATGAAAGGTATCAGTCAAAACAGCAAATATTTCTTGCTCGATTTGTATAAAGTAGGACCGGAAAAACTGATTACAAAACGCAGATTGCTGTCATAATCAGGGGCAAATGTTAGACATCAGGAACATATATACAACGAAAACCAGCGTTAAAAAAAGGGAAACGAACACCAAACCTGAAAGTTCTTCAGCATCTCAAGCAAAAGATTAAGTCCAGTTTCAGCGATATTTCTCTCAGTATGTCTAAATGCCCAGATAATTGAATCCATCACTAGCTTCAGTTGCTGATGCAAAATGACAAGAAAAGTAAGATATCCGAATAATGAGACAAGATTTGGAAATAAAGCCATAAGCTCCTTAGAATCTGACGAAGGAAAACAAATAACATATTTGCCAACCTGACTCGATAACTTTATCAGGGCAGAGAAACAAAATGTAGCAATAGCACGGAGTAGTGAGAAAAACTTTAGCCGGTGTTCGGGATAATCTTCGAAGTTCTTAGTTATCATCTGCAAAAGGATAAAAAAAAGGAACTCCAAAATCACAGACTGCACCTCCCACTTCCAATTTTAATATCAAGTCTAAGTTTTGAAAACAAGATTAAATTCTCAATCTAAATTAGTTCAAGTCTTTCACTAGCCACCACAATTAAAGTGCAAAGTCTCCTCGTTTATATAAAAAGTTGTAGTGTGAGTAGCAAAGAACACGGTCCTTAAAAAATCCTATTACCTCCAATGTACACTGGAAAACAGCTTCAAATATGTTTGGCACGTCATCTAACATTGTTGCCTTGTACCTGAAAGAGCAAATTAAAATCATGCCAGCTTTAAGAGAAGTAAAGTTCCGAATCAAATCTTGTAGCAATCCAGAACTACGCAGATGGTACACATCCTTAAGTACTACGGCACGTATCAAACAATAAGAGGCATACTTGTTTATAATAGTTGCAAAAAGTGAAAGAACTTCGGATTCCCTAGCATCAGGCACGTTCCTTGCATAGTCAGCAAGTACATATTCCATCATTGGAGACACAAATTGTTTCCCTATGTGCGGTTGGTCTTCAGCTTTGTCTAAAAAAGTTTCGATCAGCTTTAGGGTTTCCCTCTTAACAGATCTGTACAGCAAAGTATTACAATGTCAAATAGCGGCATCAAGAATAGTGAATGCATAGAACGAAACATACCTTAAGAGTTTTACAAAAGATGTCTTCGAAGCATATGGCCCCCCATTAGTAATGCTGGCTGACACAAGCTCACTGTACATTCTGGTGCAGCCATACAGAAAATAAAATGAGACCCCAACTAAAATAACACATGGAGCACTGCTAACTATTAAAGGGTATAATGATGTATCATGAATTTACCTGTATACATTCAACATATCCATGAATATCAAGGATATTTGGGATAAGAAGTACGTTCCTAGTGAAGTAGCAGCACTAGTGTTGGTCTGCATGGAAAAACACATGATAATAGTTATAATTTGCAATAAAATATTTTTCTAAACACCAGCAGACGCAGAAACTCGACTACTAAGATGCCATGATGATATAGAAATGCACTATGAGGAATAGGTAAGAAATCAGACCTGTAGGATATTAAGCACTGTACGTATTACGTCTGGATCCTTGAGGAATTCTACACTCTGGCGTGCTTGTCCTATGATTTCTGCCCATTTCTACATTATAAAACAGATCAATTTTAGCCAACTACGTAAACAAAAGTTGAGAAGCCACATTTTAAATAGCATACCTGGTTTGGAAGTGCCATCAACCTCTGTAAATATTCATCTCTCTTCTGAGGATCTGATTCTGCCTGGATCATATTACCAACCTAGAGACAGAAAAACCATGAAATCCCAACAGAGAAATAGCGCTAATTGGCAAACTAGAGAAGCATCTGAAAAACTTACAGACTCATAAAATGAGTGAATTTGATGAGGCTCAAGATCTTGAACAGTAGTTGCAAGGCCAGATAGAAGTTCAGATACGAATGGTTCACTCTCTCCAACCTGGAAGCACAATGAACTATATAACTAGGAGCTCATTTAGCAGACAATGGAAGGATAAGAAAGGTGCATTGACCATAACGATACAAACCTGAACAATAACAAATTTACGCTTGCACTTCTGAACTATTTTCAAAAATGTATCACAGGCCATGTCCTGAAAGGGAACATAAACATTAGGACCAGAAAAGAGAAAGATTCTAGCTTGGGCAGATATGAATCTTATTCTTGGACTTTCAACAAAAAGTAATACAATTTTAAGAAAATTCCACCAGAATAACTGTATCTCACAAATTTTAAAGTTTGGAGGGCTACCTGAACACCAGGATGTGTCTCGTGCATGAATTCAAACAGCTTATTCACAACTGTCTTAAGGAACTTCCAGTGCGCCCTTAAGAACCTTGGATATTGGCCAACCACATACCTGCAAAAATGAGAAGCAGAATCTTTCAGTTAAGTACGCATAACTCTGATGCCGTCATGAAAGATCGAATATACATCATAACAAAAGTACAGCAACCCAGGAAGAAATTCAACAAAATATGAAGGACCAAACTTACATGATGTTGCTAGCAATGACAGCTTTATTGTCTTTTCCCTTGGTAATCTCACATAAATTCAACAAATCACGAATGACCATCACCAAAAATCTATTTTCCTGAAAAAAATAAAAACATGTAGCTTAACTGATGCACAGAATCGAAAGGTTGAACACACCGTCTCAGAACACAGTAAGAAGCAGTCAAGCACGTACTGATAAATGTGTGGGGCTAATGAGAGAAAACAATGAAGATTAAATTTGAAAACTGCCAATCTTTTGAACAAGTCATCTTCAACGCGAATAAGGTATACTAGCTAATAGATGGAAGAACTGTATCAACAACAATTTCCATTTTTGTGAAAAAAAATCAGGCTGTACCTGATCTTCTGCCATAGATCCAGAAATAGACCCAATAGCCCAGCAGAGCGTATTCAAATTGTTCCATGCCCATTCCTCCCCGTTTAATTGTTTGTTTAGCTTCCTCAACATCTTATACATAGACAATCAGAAGTTTAAATCAGCGCAAGAACATAGCATGAAACAGACTAGAAAAGACGCTACAGAAAAACTCATCCCTAAAAACACCTCCACGTTTATATTGCTAAATATAGGGTACAACTGATTGTTTCCCCCACGAAGAAGACAATACTCATTCCATAAATATCATATATCATCATAAATCCCCAACCCCAACTGTTCATCCTCAATTATATATCACAAACCAATATGCTCATGGTCAACACTGTACCTGCTTCTCAGTATCATCATGATCAAGGTGTGAGAGGTAGATTAATGTCTCCCGCATTATCTGCAATTGTTGGAATACGAAATGGGAAAAACATTAAATAGGTACAGGACGAGTAGGATTTAGAAAATTTCCCTGTATTGATGGCACTTTTGGTAGTTTGTATATATCTAACATCGCTAAAGTAGAGTAATGTGAACTGGACTAGAGATCAGTACCTTATACTGGACAAGAACATCATTGTCCTTCATCGTTTCACG